CCTTTTCTTCCATTTCCAGGTTTTTCCTTTTCCTATTTTGTATGGATTTCTCTCTACCCGTGTACGATTCCAGATTTTTCTAAATTCAAAATGTTTTTTTTTTTTAACGTAATAAGAGAATGGTTAACCTTTCCCTTTCTTCTTTGCCGCGAATTTAACTGCGCCATTTCTCTCCAGAACTTAGTATTGGGCCTGTTCAAATGGAGAAGCTGAGGTTTCCTGTTGGGCTTTCTAAGCCCAATTTTATTTTTCAAATTCAAACGTTTTTGAAGCCCGATTTGTCTTTCCGACATCTTATTTTCTGTTTTTCTACGTTAATAACATTAATTAATTAATGGATTATCTATGTTATAGTTCGGATTGCAGCATATTATAAAATTAAGATCTTTAAATAAGAGGAATATCTAATATTAAAGGTTTTTTTTTTTTAAATTTAAATATTATTATTTTATAATTCAATATGATTTGAATTGTAAAATAATTTTTTTAGTTAATTAACAAAGTTTTATGAGGTAAATAGTGGGGAAGATCGATTATCAATAAAACAGGAGAGTGAAGATCACAATATTGTTCTCTTTATACTAAAAAATAGAAACCCTCCTAAAATGATATAAATCGTAACTAAATAAGTATATCAATGAAATAATAGCAAGAAAGATCATTTCATTCAGATAGACGAAACAAAAGAGCATCTACTTGTCATCTTCTTTTACAAACATTTCTATCATCTTACAAGTTTCAAACCCTATCTGCTAATGAAATCCACCCTCAGTTAAAAATGGAAACAAGTTGTGTAAGACATCATTTTTTTTTTGTTCAATAACTCAAACGATCAGACCATCGGAGAAAACAACATTACAAAAATTAATTTACATATTCCCCGTCCTTCTCCCCCTCCCTTCTTTTTTGTAATTAATAATATGTTTTTTTTTCCCCCGAAAACACACTTTAACTGCTCTATATGATACTAGTAAAAATTAGTAATAATTTCCCTTTTGTTAATTTACTAGCTTCCACGGTCAATCATTCCCTTTTACTGATTAAGCGATTCCTGCCTCTGCAACCTCATCTCCTCGTTGAATTCTTTATAAATGCCTCCACTCGCCGATTCAACTCGTCCTGACTCAGCGACGGCTCCTTTCTCAGACTCAGTACTGAAGCCGGGGAGGAGCTCACTTGCGCTGCTGACAGCTGGAAATTGGTCCGGTCCTTGAACGTTTGCGATTTCTTCACCACCGGCGACGGCTCAGCCAGCGAATCCACGATCACCTGATTCTCCCATGTGTCCTTAAAAGTCTCTGATTTCTTCAGGTGCCTAGACAACGGCATTGCCTTCTTCTCCGTAATCATTTTCCACGTGTTCTCCATCGTCTCGTGCCGTTTCGGCTTCGCGACTCCCAGCGATCGAAAGCCTAATTAACAATAAATGGAATTTATATACCAAAAGAATTACTACCGTTTATTAATTATAACATGCAGAAACGGCGGACGGAGCTAGGAAGCCACCGAACTCCATATAACCGGAGCTTGAAACACAGAGAAATCCAGAACCAATGGAACAGAGACCTTCAATCCGAATGCCAAAGACAGCACACCAATGGAAATGAACAGAACCTTAATAAAGTCTATTGAATAGGTTAAAAATCTTATTGTTGCAAAAATAGTAAAAACTCTAAAAAGTAGAAATTTTATATTAGTTAATTATAATTAAAAAAATGTTTTAAAATTTCAATTTTTGATATTACTTAAAATCAATTTAGATTTTTTTTATAGTATATTTGAATTGAGAAAAATAAATCAATTCTGTTTCTCTCATTTGATAAGTAAATAGATTAAAAACTAAAATAAAATAAAAAACTTTAAGAAATAAAA